TTTTTTCTTTGGAAACGGGTCCAAGTGGCTCTTTTTGTCTTAAAGGTTGCAGACCCCTGGCCTATACTAAACATAGTCTGGTGATTTGCTGTGGTTTCTGCTCTGATGAGGAAGCAGGCCAAAAGGCACCGATGTTCCTCTTGCCAGAATTCCCATCCCACCTTTTCTCCTCTCGTTTTAAGCTTAGCACATTGGCATCCAGCGCTATAGGCTTGGTCATCTTTGAAGATGGATCTGTCGCTTGTCCTAGCTGCTTGCAAGAGTCCCAGGGCACTCTGTCTCTTTCCTCTATTGTTCCATTTACCAGAGATTAGTACAGCTTTCCCTTTGGATGTGCTGGCAGAATGCTGATTCGCAAGTCCCGGTTACTGAGCTATTTTCTTTCTTTTTAACTTTTATATTAAAATAAAATAAAATAATAATTATAGACTATGTAATTCACACCAAGTTAAGACAGCATAAAGAAAGACACAAGGGGAACTGTAAATCAGAATGTGGGCATATCATACCTTATTAAATGCCTTTCAACAATCATTCTTCCTTAAGCCCTAACTAAAATGTCTGCCTCTTCTGTTCTTTGATGTGCTGTATAAACCTAAACAATCGGCTTCAATTAATCCCGTTTGTTAAACAGTTTCAAACCACCACAATTATCACCCTCTCCTAAAGGGATATAAATTAGGGGAGGAGGGCTGTTTTTGTTTTATGATTGCGAAATGTGAAATTGGATTGCTCTTCCTATAAAGGTTGAATGAAATCTACTGTTTTAAATTAACTTGTTTGGTCAGGCTCAGGGGGACAGTTATGTGCTACATTTCCTCCCTAAAAGAACACAAGTAAAATTAGGGTGTGTTGTCAGGTAGTTAAGTGCTACCCTATGATTACTACATGTATTGTGAAGACTGGAACTAATCCTACAAGAGGGTTCAAACCTTCAGAGCATTTGAAGGATCCAGGGACTGTATTATGACTGCTTTGCCAGGTCCTGCAAGGCTTTCCTCAGTGGCAGCATGTGATAAAGAGAACAGTTAAATGCACTCTCTGCACTTTCATTTTCTTTTGGAGATGCCCAAGAGACTTCATCTGGTTGGATTTCTGATCAGTCTGTTTTTCCCTTGAGTGGGGACCAGTTGAAACCTCTACTCCCTTTATTAGCCAACCAGGCTCCTGTTGCAGATAGGAGAACAGGAAGCTGAGTCAAACCATTGGTCCATCTAGCACAATATGGTTTACAATAATGGGTTTTGGAAAGGGAACATTTCCAGCCATACCTGGAGATGCTGGGGATGGAAACTGGGACCTTCCCCAGCACTGAGATGAGGAGCGTGACAAAGAAGCTGCCCTAGTCCAAGTCAGACCATTGGTCCATCTTGCTTAGTACATTCTCCACTGACAGTGGTTTCAGAGAGGAGTCTTCCAAAGCCCTAGCTGGAGATGCAAAACCCTGTAACTGCATGCAAAACATGTGCTCTCCCACTGAACTTTGACCCTTCCTATAGGACAGGGGTGGGGAACCTGTGGTCCTCTAGATGTTGTTGGACTAGCACTCCCATCATCATAAGAACTTAAGACCATAACAAGGGCCAGTGGCCTATCTGTTCCAGCATCCTGTTCTTAAGTGGCCAACCAAACCTATATGAGAAGCTCAAAAGCAAGACCAGAGTGATCTCCATAGCTAGTAGTTTTACTGTGTGTCCATTGGCCTGGCCATTGGACATGCCGGCTGGAGCTGATGGGAGATGGGGTCCCAAAACATCTGGAAGTTTCACAAGATCCTTTACTTTCCTAGATTTGTTTGCTTGCTTGTTTGTTTTAAGTCTGAGTTCTACACTAGAACTTTGAAGAATACAGCAAATTATTCTAGAATTTTCAGAAATTATAGATATGTAACTCATGTAGAATAAGTAGCATCCATCTTTATAGGATGTAAAAAATATATATCATCTAACGTGCCACCAAATTTGCTGTGTGATTCAGTAATAAATCCTGATTACCAAGAATGACAGGCTGTAATTCATGTCTTCCACAAAATATCCTGTGATTAGTCAATTCTAGATGCAAGTGTTTAAGCTCAGAACACTCGTAGGAACTTTTTTAATAAAAAAAAAGCTGAATTTGACAGTTTTAGGGTTTTATTATTCACATGCTTTGGAAATCAGAAGGTATTACTGTTATGAATAGATATCTCACTACCCTTGGAGCTCAGTTTTCAGAGCTACAATTTCTTCCCACACTTCTTGGCCTCCATCTTTAGGTTACCAGTTTATGTGAAGGGATCAGAAAGATGGCTTGGATTGATTGTTCTTTCTCCATTCTCCATTTCTCCATGGGAATGAGGAACCCATGGCCTCTGGAAGCTGTTGGGCTACAATTCTCATCAGCTCCAACCACTCACCATGCTAATGAGGGCTGATGGGAGTTGGAGTCCAACAACCATCTGCAACCTTGACATCATCAGCACCATGCTCTAACCATATGAGTTATCTGGTTGCTGACTGGTTAAAAAGAAAAATATTCCAGTTTTGTCCACTCATAGACATGAAGGTAACCTATTTGCTGCATTAGACATGCTTTTCAAAAAGCACACTTAAGCTGTCAACTTTTATTTCAAAGGAAAGGGAGCCGCACAGATGTGCTCTCAGTATAGATCAGGGTTCTGCACCAGTTTCCTACCCAATGCCCTCACACAAGTTTGACCACAAAGGTGCAATACTGCCATATAACTGTACCTTTTTGGGGGGAGAATAGCAGCTGGGTTGTGGGGATGGGGGAAGGAAATGGTTTGTGGGTCCCCAGTTGCTTTTCCTTCCAAATAAAAGTGGACACTATTTTGAAGAACTGTGCATAGTATGATTATTTTTTTGGCCCTTATCCTAAGCCCACTGGTCCATACAGCCAGCAGAGTCTACTCTGCCTGGCAACAGCTTTCCAATGCAACCAGGCAAGAAGTCTCTCCCAGTCTTTTTATCAAAGATCTTTTCATTGAACCTGGAGCCATTCGCATGCACAAAAGCTATGGTCCCAAATGACAAAGTGGGAAGGAGAATTACAGTACTTGGAGCAGGGGGTGGGGATGGGATATTGAGTCTGACATAAGCATCCTTTCACAATACATGTAGGAATCTCTTAATGCCCATCTCAAAAGCTACTTTGCCCCAGTCCCTTTCTCACTCTAGAATCATGCAGGCAGTAGATAAGGCACAAGTGAATGCAGTTCAAAAATATGTAGTATCATTCTGGCTTTTCATCCTAATAGACTTGCTTGCCATTCACTGCAAATCCCCTCTAGAGGGTGATTCTTTACACAGAGCTCTTCATGTCCACCTAACAAAATGAAATTTCAACAGCTACAAAACCATTCTCCTTCAGAGTTACGGATTTTAATACTGAATGGTCTCCTTGGAGCCATGTATACAGGCAGACAGAGAGGTGGGTGGGTGTGGAAAGGGTTCTGCAAAATCTTTGACCAGCACCTAAAATGTAACAAAGAATCCCACCAAAGTTAATTCAGCTCCCTCATTTGGAATCTATGCCCTGTAGAATCGCCACATATGCAAAAGGCCGCTGTGTGAAACTGAGCATTGCAGTTCATTTCCTGGCCACTAGTAGGTGCATGCCACTTTATTTTCCCACACGGAAGCAAATGGGGAGTACATAATATGAGCTCTATTGCATCCAATCAGTTGTTTCACATAGAACGGTATACTGAGCCGTACATGCACCTTAGGCAGAGGCGGATTTAGGGGAATGCAGTCCGTTTGGTTGCACTGGGTGTGGAGCCTTGGGAGCACCACAAGGGGGCACCACAACTATAATGGAATGGAAGAATGGAACTATAACGGGATGCAGAATATAAGGCAAGAGGCAGGGTGCCGAAATTTGCCGCCTCACTGGGTGCTGTTGAAATTTGAGACCCCAAGGTCCACCACTGCCCATAAGCAGGTCCCAGTACGTTTCCGAGCACAGTTCAAAGTGTTGGTGCTGTCCTTTAAAGCCCTAAACAGCCTCGTCCCAGTATACCTGAAGGAGCGTCTCGACCTCCATCGTTCTGCCCAGACACGGAGGTCCAGCGGAGGTCTCTTCCAGTGCTATTCCCCAGCAAGTTGTACTGGGGTTTTACCCCTGTCTAACCTGTATCCCTGAACATAATATTTATTTATTTATTTATTCATTCATTCATTCATTCATTCCCCGTTCATCTGGTTGGGTTTCCCCAGCCACTCTGGGCACTCCCAACAGAATATTAAAAGCACAATAAAACATCAAACATTAAAAACTTCCCTAAACAGGGCTGCCTTCAGATGTCTTCTAAAAGTCGGATACAGTGGTACCTCGGGTTAAGTACTTAATTTGTTCCGGAGATCCGTTCTTGACCTGAAACTGTTCTTAACCTGAAGCACCACTTTAGCTAATGGGGCCTCCTGCTGCCGCTGTGCCGCCAGAGCACGATTTCTGTTCTCATCCTGAAGCAAAGTTCTTAACCCGAGGTACTATTTCTGGGTTAGCGGAGTCTGTAACCTGAAGCGTCTGTAACCTGAAGCGTACGTAACCCGAGGTACCACTGTAGTTGTTTCTTTCCTTGACATCTGATGGGAGGGCATTCCACAGGGTGGGCGCCACTACCGAGAAGGCCCTCTGCCTGGTTCCCTGTAATTTGGCTTCTCGCAGGGAAGGAACCGCCAGAAGGCCCTAAGTGCTGGACCTCAGTGTCCGGGTAGAAAGATGGGGGTGGAGATGCTCTTTCAGATATACTGGGCCGAGGCCATTTAGGGCTTTAAAGGTCAGCACCAACACTTTGAATTGTGCTCGGAAACGTACTGGGAGCCAATGTAGGTCTTTCAAGACCAGTGTTATATGGTCTTGGCGGCCACTCCTGAGGAACAACACTTAGGAACAAAGGAAGCAGACTACTGGTCCATCTCCCTCCACATTGACTACACTGACTGGAAGGAGCATGTCAGGACTTCAGACTTCAGACTGGGGACACCCCCAGGCCTACATGGAGGTGCAGGAAATTGAACCTGAAGTCTTCTGCCTGCCCAGCAGATGCTCTGCCATTGAGCTACATCCCTTCCCCATTGAATTTCCTTCCCTAGAAGGAAGTGGTAAGAAAATCTGCCATTCACTTCAGCACACTGAGAACCTGTCCAGCAGTGAAACGTGCAGATCTCTTTTCCACTCAAAGGCATCCATCTCACCACTGCAAACAGAGGGCTCTTAAAAAACAACAACAACAGCACACTGACAAGCAATTTGATATGATGACCAAGCAACCAGACCACCGCGTCAAAAAATATTATTTAAAACCCACATTTTGATAAGGAAATGCTGTGATGTGTTCATAGCATCTGTCATCGGGAGATGCGCAATGTGGAGAAGCAAACCAAGGCTGTCACAATGGAAATCATGCAGCGTAGCCTGCCATGGCAAACTTTACCTATGCCCTCTGCTAAAGTGGAAAATTCGGAGGCTTAGGGGAGATTGTAGCACGAGGCTGGAAATTAGACCCCATCTATCTATGTGTCAACAGACCTGCAGGCTGCCGAGGTGCAAGCATTTCCACCCTGCTTTGCCGAAGAGCCGAACCGTGACCTGAGAGGAGGCCTTCGGGGCTGAGAGACCTTCTTTATTGTAATTAATTCTCCAGGAGAGCTCGGTCCCAGACAGGGAGAGCAGAGGGAGGAAGCTGTAGTTGAAGGGCCAACCTGTCTCTGCTATCGGCTCAGGGCTGAGCCACCTAGGGCAGGTTGGAAAGGTTCCGGTTTTTTTAAAAGAAAAAGAGAAAAGATTGGTGTTTCCCGACACACACTGAGCCGTTTAATGCTTCATTATTTATTTATTAGGGCTTTCGACATGGTAGGGGAGCCACGCGGCTTTAGGAAATAAATGAAAAAATCAGCATGACATTAATACGGCCGGGGAGAACGGCTCGCTCACGCCGGAATGTTGCGATCAATGCCGATTTTTCTCGTTTGGTTTGTTTCAGGAAGGTGATGTTAAGAGTGGGCATCTGACCCTCCAAGTTCCAGCTTGTTTCTTCTGATGCAAAGTATCCTGGGCTCTTCTGACCCTGTCTCCGGGGTTTTCAAGAGAAACTACCATGCATAAGACCACAGCTACTTTTCTAGAAAAAGAGGTGCCTGAACTCATCGTGAACACCTCCCTCGTTCTCTTATAATAGCAATGGCGCCCACCTGAGAGGTGCTGGAAATGAGTTCTTGTGCGTTCTGGCTGGGGGGAAAAGCCCTGCGTGAGACCATGTTTAAATTCCATAATAAAGCTTTTCCCCAACCTGGTGCTTGGATTCCCAATTCCCATCAGTCCCAGGAACCATTTTCAGTGGCCAAGGATAATGGGAGTTGTGGTCCAAAACACGGGAGGGGGGCCTTTAGTTCTGAAAGGCTGCCAGAACAAAAGACAAATTTCTGTATCGCTTCTTTGGCTAGGATCCAAAGAGCAGTGAAACTATTATTCAGGTTTCCTCACCCAACGAACTGAGGTGGCTGCCAGCGGAAGGGCCTTTTTTGTGGTGGCACCCCAGTTATGGAATGCCCTGCCCAGAGAAGTTCACAGGGCATCTATGTTGTTGTTGTTGGGTTGCATCCAATGCCAGGCCGAGGTCCCATCGGCACTATACATTTTAAACAGCATCATACAGTTGTGGCTTCCCTCAAGGAATCATGGGAAGTTCATCATCATCATCATCCTTTACTAGGCATAGCACACCACACACTAACAAACAAACATCATATACAGACTGTATAAAATACGGGCTCAGCAAACACAATTTATCCCAGTCCTATTCTTAACTCCAATAAATAAATCGATGTACATAGATAATATAATACAACCCAACAACAGGGAACTGTAGTTTCTTATGAGTCCTGGGAGTTGTTAGGAGACCCCTATTTCCCACAGAGAGATACAATTCTGAGAGTTCTTTGGAAAGAGGGATTTATTGAGGTCCCTGTGGTGCAACAGGTCAGTGTGTCTGGCTATTAACCAGAAGGTTTGTGGTTTGAGTTTCCTCAGGGACAGCTGTGGGCAGGGTTCCTGCATTGCAGGAGATTGGACTAGATGAACCTTAGGGTACCTTCCAGCCATGGGCGTAGCCAGGACTTTTGTTAAGGCGGGCAGAATCGATGTGATTGGTCAGTTAGTTAAGTATTTAGGGACACAGGTGAGGCTGTCGTCTAAACCACTGAGCTTCTTGGGCTTGCTGGCTGGAAGGTCAGTGGTTCGAATCCCTACAACGGAGTGAGCTCCCGTTGCTCTGTCCCAGCTCCTGCCAACCTAGCAGTTTGAAAGCATACCAGTGCAAATAGATAAATAGGTACCGCTCCAGCGGGAAGGTAAGCAGCGTTTCCATGCGCTCTGGCTTCCGTCACGGTGTTCCATTGTGCCAGAAGCGGTTTAGTCATGCTGGCCACATGATCCGGAAAGCTGTCTGTGGATATGTATATAGTGGTGCCCCGCAAGACGAATGCCTCGCAAGACGAAAAACTCGCTAGACGAAAGAGTTTTCCGTTTTTTGAGTCGTTCCGCAAGACAAATTTCCTTATGGGCTTGCTTCGCAAGACGAAACGTCTTGCGAGTTCTTGCGAGTTTGTTTCCTTTTTCTTAAAGCCGCTAAGCCGTTAATAGCCGCTAAGCCGCTAAGCCGCTAATAGCCGCTAAGCCGCTAATAGCCGTGCTTCGCAAGACGAAAAACCACAAGACGAAGAGACTCGCGGAACGGATTAATTTCGTCTTGCGAGGCACCACTGTATGTTATATGAGATATGCTATATGAAATGTGTCATATGATATAAGAGATTGTTAATAAAGCAAAAAGAAAGAAAGAGAAAGTGAGATGAGTGCCGTACCCCATAGTCGCCTTTGACTGGACTTAATCATCCAGGGGTCCTTTACCTTTTGCCTTTACCTTACCTAGTTAAGTATTTCTATTGTTTTACTTGATCTCTTGATCTGGGGGGGGGCAGCTGCCCCCCTTGGCTATGCCCATGCTTCCAGCTCTACAATTCTATGATTCTATGACTGTTAAAGCCATGGTGACAATTGTAGCTCTGTGTGTGGAATAGGGGTCTTTCAGCACCCTTAACAAACCACAGTTCCCAGGATTCTTTGCAAGGAAGGCATCACTCCTTAAATTGGCATGGTGCTGCTTTAAAGGAAAGTGTGGATGAGGTCCTACTCAGAGCAAAGGCATTGAAAATGGACAGGGGTCCATTCATTTAAGTAGGTCTGCTCTGAGAAAAACCTGGTTATAACCCATTATTATTCATTATTGTTCCTTATTTCATTCATGAATTGCTTTCCATGAGGCATCCCAATGTGATTTAGAATATTTTGGGTACTAGCTGAAGACCTCTTTATTTTCCCAGCTCTTCTATATAATCAACAAACGGTGCTTTGATACGTATGCTGTTTTTATTGTTTTATTATCTTCTGCTGCCTCATGACAGTTTTTAAAGGATTTTATGAGATCTTTGTGCCAGTACAGTTTGTTCTATATCAATTGTTTTTAGCTTTGATTGTATTTGTGTTTTATTGATGTTTAGATTTTGTGAACTGCCCAGAGGACACAGTTAATTGGGTGGCTTATAAATAATTCCAATAAATAATGAAATAACAGAGCTTGTGTTTCAGACCTCTAAGTCACAACATGATAAAGATGATAAACATAGGAAGTTGCCTTAAACTTAGTCAGACGGTAAATAACAAACAAGATACTGATGTATGTAATTTTTATTTCTCAATTATATTTTGTGGTAGTATGGTTGTAATGTTTTTTGTAACATAAAATCATTCAATAAAAATTATTTTTTAAAAAAACTTAGTCAGACCATTGACCATTGATCCATCTAAGGCCATATTCCATAGAATTGGAGAATTGGAAGGGACCCTGAGGATCATCTAGTCCAACTCCCTGCAATGCAGGAATATGCAGCTGTCCCATACGGGGATCAAACCTGTGACCTTGGCATTATCAGCACCATGCTCTAACAAACTGAGCTGTCCCATTTGAATACATTGAATACACCGTACACTGAAAGCACTATGATATGTGTATCCAAGCACTATGGTGTGTTTCCACAGCAATGACCAGAAGAGGAATGACCACTGGGAGGAGCACAGAGAGAAGAAATGCCATGGTGCATCTGCAGCAGCACAGCTGGACGCCTTCATCTGCCCCAGCTGCAAGAAAACATGTCTCTCCCATATCAGTCTCTACAACCACAGCAGGTGAGGCAACCTTCCAACAGCTTGACCTCAACCCCAAAGGCACACTCCTCCATTGTCTCCTGAGACAGACAGATGCCAACAACTATGATACCACTTTAAACAATCACAGCTTCCCCATAAAGAATTCTGAAAGGTGTCTTTTGTTAAGGTTGTTGAAAATTGTGAGGAGATTCCCAGAGCTATAATTCCCAATGTGGTTTAGGAATCAATTCCTCTTCACAGGGAACTCTGGGAATTATAGCTCTGTGAAGGGAACAGGGGTCTCCTAGCAACTCTCAGCACCCTTACCTACACATCCCAGGATGCTCCAGGAAAAGCCACAACTGTTCAAAGTGGCATCATAGTGCTTTAAATGTATCTTATGAAGATGACCTTACTCAGTATTTTCCACACCAGGGTACACCTGGTCACAGTCTTCCTGCTATACAATCGGAAAGTCTTCTAGGAAGTTCAATAGTCTAGGAAGCCCCACTGGCAATCTAAGACTGGCACAAGTTCTAAGGTTCAGACGCATTTTCTAACCCCAAAGAACTTAAGGATTTCTATTTATTTATTTTGTCATTCTTGATGAAACTGCAATTACATTATTGAATAATCCAATTATTTTTTGTGTTTTATTACTGTGATTCATCCCTAGGAATGTTAGATGATTGGAATATAAACAGTCTTGCCACATCTTCAATAGTCTCCATGAAAAGGTATTTTGTTTCCATTTGTGGAATCACTGAAATTGCACACAAGATAAATATCGCTAATTCTCTTTCCCTCGTTTCATTAAGAAGAAAAATGCATTGAAGACATTTTTACTGCATTAATCCTAGCCCCAACAATCAGAAACCTCATTTAAAATATTAAGGCTATGTTTCCACAATGCGTTAAGAATCCATATATCATATTTCTCTCTGTCATTTTATTTTTTTATTAAAAGAATGAATGGATTTGTTACACTGGCTTCATTACAAGATCCTATGTTTTTAGTTATTGGAAAGCATGATTAAGAAATTGCTTCTTAGGTAGTGTCTTGACCAAGAGCACTGAACAATCTTCATCAGCTGGCAGAGGTTTGAAACCAGGTTTCCTATGTTCACTCAACATTAAATTCCCTGCACTAGAACCAAGGGAGTCTTCTTTGTTTCTGCATCAGCATGGGAGTCCTTTCCCCTTGACTTTGCCCCTCTCCTGGAAATGTAACATGATCCATCACATGGGCTCTTCCCACCCAAACAGCATCTGATTGGAGGGAGTGTAGTGATCAAAGCAGTGGTTCTTCAACATCAACTTCGTTGGCCTGGTCATGTACAGATACCTGATTATCGTCTTCCAAAGCAACTACTCTATTCCAAACTTTAAAATGGAAAGCGTACTGCTGGTGGTCAACAAAAGAGGTTTGAAGACTGTCTCAAGGCAAATCTTTAAAAAATGTATAAACACCGACAACTGGGAAACACAGGCCTGTGAGCGCTCCAGTTGGAGAACAGCCTTTCCCAAACGTGTCATGGGCTTTGAAGATGCTCAAACTTAGGACTAAAGGGAGAAACAAGCTAAGAGGAAGGCACACTTGGCAAACCCTCAACTCCTGCCTGGAAAACTATGTCCCCACTGTGGAAGGACATGTGGATCCAGAATTGGCCTCCACAGTCACTTACGGACTCACTGCTAAAACCCTGTTTTGGAAGACAATCTTACTTGGCTATGAGTGATCGCCAAAGAAGAAGAAGAAGAATGCTCAAATGGGAAGGATCCATACCAAAAGGACCCACCCTACCCACAATCTTTCAGGCGTCTAAATTACCACTATCAAGTGCAAAGAGGCCACTAGGAACCAGCTGCCACACCACAACTACAGCAAAAGAAAAATATTAACTGAACCTGGGAGTAGCAAGCAAGTGTTTGATCCCGTGAGGGGAGACCCAACAAAATTACAGCGGCACCTGACTCATATAAACACATCCATTCACATGCTACAGAAATAGCGCCAACTTTGTCTTCCTAGGAGGATAAAGTCATGAGAGTTCAGATGGATCTTCACCTAATCCTTCACCATTATGGCACACCCACCATCTGGGCTTAACATGGAACCAATGTTTTCTGAAACGCCAAGACTCCCAAATTCATTGTGCATGCTCTACTCACCATATTCTTTTTTCATTTATACATGGTATACATACACATGCAATGTAAGGGCATATCATGTATATTTCAAAGGTACATTTGCCAGAGCACTGGGATCTGCCACAGCTCCTTATCATGTGCACACACATAGAGACATAGCAGAGCAGAATGTGCGATAATGCAGCCTGCAGTGCCACTTCTCACGAAATGCCATTTTGCCAGGATCTGGATATCCAAGTACAAAATGCACATTCATTCTACTGTACAGCATGCTGTAGTAAGTGATAAAAGGCACACTCATATTTTACAGGAGACTTTTCATTTAAAAAATCAGTGGCTCAGATCTGCATTTGCATTTCTGCATGATTTATAGAAGGTACTCTCCCCCCCCCATGCATAATTAGCTGATGGAATACACTAGCACAAGATGTGATGCACACTAGCTTAGACAGGTTTTTTTATTTTAAAAAATGTGATGAATCTATGGAAAATAACTAAAATCCATTGATACCAGACCAATGACAAGTGAGGTCCTGGAACAAAATTGTGCAGTCCATGTGTTTCCTGAGCCCATGACCAAGGAGGTCAAACAACCAAAAGTTAGTATCAAAGATGGGAGTCATTTTCTTCGTGTGTAAGGTTATGAGTCTTTAAATAGCCTGGTCCCAAACCATTTAGTGCTTTAAAGGATATCACTAGCACTCTAGACTGGTCCCAGAAACACACTGTGCAGCCAGTGCAACTGAAATAATAAAGGTGTAATATGTTCTGGCTTCCTGACTTCAGCAGGGCAGCAGCATTTTCTACCAGTTGTAGTTATTGGACCATTTTTAAAGGCAGCCCCACAATACCTAAGAATGTAAGAAGAGCCTGCTGGATCAGGCCAATGGCCTATCTAGTCCAGCATCCTGTTCCCACGGTGGCCAACCAGATACCTATGGGAAGCTTGCAAGCAGGACCTCAGCACAAGAGCACCCTTCAGTTTACAGTAGCTGGTATTCAGAAGCATATTACCTCCAACCATGGAGGGCAGAACATTGCCTCCATCATGGCTAGTAGACATCGACAGACTTCTCCTCTAGGAATTTGTCTAATCCTCTTTGAAAGCCATCCAAATTGGTGGTCATCATTAGACAGTAGTCCAGTCTGGATGTCACTAATGCATGGATAACTGAGGTGAGGTCCATTCTTTCCAGGCAGGATCACATCTGGTAAACCCATAAAAATTGGCCAAAAGCACCCCTGGACACCTGAACCCCAGTCACTACTGAGTACAGAAGCACTCCCAAGCTGTGAGCAATGACTTTCAAGGTGAGGACAAGACCAGTTGCAAACCTACACGCACAGCATCCGATTGCCAACCAACAGTACCTCCACCTTGCCTGGATTAAATTTCATCTTGTTTACTCCCATCCATCCCAGGGCTGCCTCCAGGCACCAGTTAAGAAATTCAACAGTCTCCATGGGATGAGTAGATGGGAAAGAGAGGTAAAGCTGAGTGTCATACTGGTAGAATTCTGCCCAAAGCTCCATATGGCTACTCCCAATGGTTTCATGTAAATCTTAAGCAGCATGAGGGACAAGACAGAACCTTGAGGAACCCCCACAGCCCAAACCCCAAGGACTGAAACAGAAGGCCCCAGTAACTCCTAGATCCATTGCCCAGTCCCCCTCTAGCAGAATTCAAAAGCCAGGAATGGCAAGGATCAAAGAGATTCTTATACTACTTTAACAGTCATGGGTAATTATGGGAGCTAGAATTTGTTGAGGGTGCTGGGAATTGTAGTTCTGTGTGGTCAGCACCCTGAACAAACCACAGTTCATGTAATTTCATTTTCATTTATTAGACTTATTAGTCGCTTGTCACCTAAAGGTCTCCAAGCTACTTACAGCATATGTATATGTATACATACACACACACACACACACACACACACACACTATAGAGGGGAAAGGGCGAATTATATACAGTGGTACCTCGGGTTAAGAACTTAATTCATTCTGGAGGTCCGTTCGTAACCTGAAACTGTTCTTAACCTGAAGCACCACTTTAGTAATGGGGCCTCCCACTGCCACCGCGTGATTTCTGTTCTCATCCTGAAGCAAAGTTCTTAACCCGAGGTAATATTTCTGGGTTAGCGGAGTCTGTAACCTGAAGCGTCTGTAACCTGAGGTACCACTGTACTGCATTAATATTTCATATAACATAGCATCCATAGGGGAAAAAGATTGGGGGTAGGCATGACTGTTAAAGATATGAGCATTGTTAATGTATGCTGTGGATGTGATCTTACAGTGAACTCTTACTTGAGACGAGTAAGCCACATTGAACTCAACAGGACTTCTGAATAAACATGGATAAGAAGATGATGCAAACAGACTTTGGTTCAGTCCAGTAATCTTTCTTAATTTATATTTGCACTTGTCTATTTAATGACATTTCTCATTGAAAGGGAAATGCTGTAAAAATAAAACAAGGGTGTATTTTTTCCCCCCTTCTGAAAATTTGTTGTAGCAAAAGGTCACATCTTTAAGAAGCTGTATAGGCTTGAAAAATAAGCAAAGCTTTTTTTGAAAATGGAATTGCATGGCTTCCAGAATTCCCACAGCACTATCAGAAAATGGCAGTGAATATAAATACTAAGCTGAGAGGCATGGTGTT